TCATCAAGGAACCAATCCTCATTTACTGTGTTAATTTTCCTGATTCGCCGCATCACTTTCTGAAAGGTCCTTGTAAACTTACAAATACTGTTATGTTAAGCTGTGTTATGTCAAGTTGGGTCGCGTTAAGTTACATAAACCTATAAAATGTATATTTAATCCAACATAAGCAATTAAAAAAGAAGTGGCCGCGATACGTCTGGCAGCACGGTGAATAAGCAGCACCAGGAAACGTAGAAGTTTGCACGTGTATCACTCATAGTGTGAGAATGGGTTGTATGTCCAGTTTCTCGAGTACCTTGTCCTACGTCAGGCCTCTTATCTCTGGAACAAGTCCTTTTTTTCTACAAAGCTTTGGACATTATCTAGTTTTTGCCATACGGTACATGATCAGGTGAGGCTCCACGCTGAGGCTGCAGACTCTGTGACAGGCCTCATATACGTCGTGTGTACCGTTCTGAAGGCACATTTATTTAGATTTCTTAATACTTCTTTTTTTTGAAATTGTTAAATCTTGCATTTTTATGGCGAAGGTTACGTGGATTATGTGCACTTATGTGTGATGCAGACTGCCAAAGTTTTTCACTACTGCTTGCAGGTTCAACACTTACATCTTACATCTTCCTTCTGGCAGCGCTGTTTCACAATCTAGCCTCGTTTTAATGTTTTTTTTTTTTTTACCGTGGTGATCAACGTCAATTTCTTAACCCTTGCAACTTGTGTCAAAATTTATTTTCGTTATTTTAAGTAATTTTGAAGTATCAGAATGGTTTGACACTTTTTCGACATATTTAAAACTTTATCAACAAAAATTACAGGCAACGTGTAAATTTGAACGTTCATCACTCGTGGTGCGAGAATAGGCTACCTCTTCGGTCTGCGTTCTCATTAAGAAACTTGCATTAAGTATACTAGTGTCCTTTAGTACGGACGCTAGTAAGACCCACACGATACACTCACGAAAGACATATGAAGCCTTCGTTACTGGACGGACGATCGAGCTTTCAACCCTCATTGTCCTGAATGACCCAGCCGCGGATTAATCTCTAGAGAGATACAGTCAAGGAATATGCAGTCTACTAACTGCCATCATTCTCTGTTGATGCAGGTCGGCTATGAGGTCAACTGTTGATGCATATATGCTGAGAGGTAGGCTACGTTTGGTGTAGTTAAGCAAATACTAAACGTATTCTTATTCAGCACTGTATGTCCCTTGTGTATCAGAGAACAGTGACTAGACTAAACACATTACCCTGTGTATGCAAACGGAAGTGGACAGTTGTCTCCGAAAATGGCAGCTCCAGAGTTTCTGTACAGAAGAAACTTGGGATTTCCATCTGGTTGGAAGGGGCTACTAGATTTCTTTTGAAGCTACATTATTATTATTATTATTATTATTATTATTATTATTATTATTATTATTATTATTTGGGGGCTTTGGGAGGTTGATAGATTTTATGCCCACTTTCCCTTGGCGCCGCCACTACAGTATGTGATCTTTACCCTTTAGCGTGTTATGCAACTTTATGAATAAATGTGTATGATCGTCTCTCTAGGCTGTTGGATGTTGGCGCTGTGTTCAGATCCTTCTGGTGGAAGACCGGCCCACGGGGGCAATGACATCCGACATTATTAACAGATATACAACACCTGAGAAATGACAGCCAATCGGGTTTGATACAAGGAGTGGGTAACTCCAATCCCATAGATCAAGAGTCCTTCAACAACGAGGCACTACTTCCCCTACCCTTCCACCTTAAAGGGGAAGTGGAGAAAATGTATTCGTCAGGGGGAAGTCTGAGACGACTGAGGTGGGTGTTAGTCATATGAAGACACACTCAGTTGAGCTTCTGGTCAAGTGATCGACCCCCCCCCCCCCCCCCGTTTTTCTGATCCTAGCTTATAGGACCACCCCTCCTGATCCTAGATACCGGTCCACCCCGTGATACTAGCTTACCGGTCCACTGTCCTGATCCCAGATTACCGGTCCACCCCTCTGATCCAAGCATACCGGTCCACCTTCCTGATCCTAGTTTACTGGTTATTATTATTATTATTATTAAAGATTCGCCGGTATTCTCCCGGCCCGGGCCTTTTCCAAGTGGTGGCCCGGCCTTGGCTCCCTCTTTACGGAATGTCTGAGACCTAAGTCTCCCATGGGAGGAGGCACAAGTACCTCCTCATCTTTGGGACCAACTGTCCCCAGGCCTAGCCACAAGCTAGGCCCTCTCTGGTCTGCCATCCCCGCCCCAAGGGGGCAAATGGGAATGACAGTCTTATGAGCTAAAGGCTCGGGCTCAGGCACCTACCCTACCCTAGAAGGGTTAGGCATGATGTCGATGTAGTTTACTGGGTCATCCAGTACCAAAAATACACTTGTGTATCATACAATTTATACTGGGACTACATACTTATGTTAATATGGCAAAGGTGAAACTAGGATAGTTAAGTAAGACTTGAATATATTATTAGTTACTACAACTACTACTACTAATAATAGCAATAATAATAATAATAATTAATAATCATTCTTATTATTATTATTAGTAGTAGTAGTAGTAATATAAAGGTACAATTTATCCCACTTGCGGTATTATCTCAGTACTTGTATAAGTTAGTGACAGGGTTCGAGTACGAACTGGTATTTACACTTCCCAGGCGGCCACTTGTCTTTGTTGAATTAAGTGATGTTTAATTTAGGGCAAGCACAAAAATTCAGCGTTTGACACAGTTTAAACATTTCTTGATAGAAGAAGCGTTGTTTAATTTCTAACTGCATCGTCCTCATTTTACGTTTTCTTACACGAATCCCGACTTATTTGAGTTATCCTAGGTTCTCTACACATATGCTGCTATGTATGATAATTCTATGTAGCTGTATTTGTGTATACCTGAATAAACTTACTTAATTACTTACTTACGAATAAATAATGTGCGACACGTCTGTCAGCTCCTTTCTCCAGTCGGCATGTTCTCACTCCAGCCTCAGCTAGTCTCCTTTCGCTCTTCTCCCAACCAAGAGCCATGTCTTTCTTTTACCATCTTCCTCATTAGCTTTCCACACCACCCGACTTAATATATGATCCATAATTTTGAGTCAACACTATATAAAAGGCCAGGACTCCAGACAGGCCACCAAAACGTGTAGCTCTTCATGCCTGATATCCCCTACAGCTGTATGGAATTCTGACCAGTTATAAAATTCATTACAGGTTATTAAAACCAGGAAGCATTTCTCGAATTAATCTAGTATACCAGGAATCCTCGCCAGTTGTCCTAGTCGCCACCTTTACCTACTACTAGTACCCTTTAATCACTACCAGGACCCACCAGACACTACTAGTACCCTCCAATCAATACCAGGGCCCACCAGACACTACTATCCTCCAGTCACTACCAGGACCCACCAGACACTACTAACACCCTCCAATCACTACCAGGTCCAACTAGACACCACTAGTATCCTCCAGTCACTACCAGGTCCAACTAGACACCACTGGTATCCTCCAGTCACTACCAGGGCCCACCAGACACTATTAGTACCCTCCAATCACTACCAGGTCCAACTAGACACCACTAGTATCCTCCAGTCACTACCAGGGCCCACCAGACACTATTAGTACCCTCCAATCACTACCAGGACCCACGAGACACTACTAGAACCCTCCACTCTCTATCAGGGCCCACCAAACACTACTACTACCCTCCAATCCCTACCAGGGCCCACCAGACACTACTAGTACTCTCCAATCACTACTAGAGCCCACCAGACACTACTAGTACCCACCAATCACTACCAGGGCCCAACAGACACTACCAGTACCATCCAATCGCTACCAGAGCCCACCAGACACTACTAGTACCCTCCAATCACTACCAGGGCCCACCAGACACTACTAGTACCCTCCAGTCCCTACCAGGGCCCACCAGACACAATTAGTACCCTCGAATCACTACCAGAGCCCAGCAGACACTACTAGTACCCTCCAATTACTACCAGGACCCACTAGACACGACTAGTACCCTCCTATCAGTACTAAGACTCACCAGACACTAGTACCCTCTAATCACTACCAGGACCCACTAGACACTGTTAGTACCCTCCAGTCGTTACAAGGACTACCAGACAATACTAATACCCTCCAATCTGTATCAGGTCCATCTAGACACTACTAGTGCCAACCAGTACCCTCCAATCACTACCAAGTCTCACCAGACAGTACTAGTACTTTCCAATCGCTACCGGGACCCACCAGATATTACTAGTACCCTCCAATCACTACCAGGACCCACCAGACACTAGTACCCTCCAATCTCTACCAGGGCTCACCAGATATTACTACTACCCTCCAATCACCAGGGCTCACCAGACACTATTAGTATCCTCCAATTACTACCAGGGCCCACCAGACACTACTAGTACCCTCCAATCACTACCAGAGCCCACCAGACATTACTACTACCCTCCAGTCACCAGGGCCCACCAGACATTACTAGTACCCTCTAATCACTACCAGGACCCACTAGACACTACTAGTACCCTCCAATCACTACCAGGTTCCACCAGGCACTACTAGTACCCTCCAGTCACTACCAGGAGTCACCAGACAACACTAGTACCCTCCAATCACTACCAAGTCTCACCAGACATTACCAGCACCCTTCAATCACCACCAGGACTAACCATCATCACAAGTACCATGCAGTCACCGCAAGAACCAACCAGTCACCACCAGGGCCAACCAGTCACTACTAGGACTAATCAGTCACCACCGGGTACCGGGCGTGAATGACCTGAGTGACGCTCTTCTTGGTTCGCCGGTACGGTTCCAGCCCGGGTCTTTTCCAGATGGTAACCCGGCGAACCGAGTGACGTGTATGACAAGTCTCATGGTGCAGTACAAACTTTTTCCCAGCAGGTGGTGCTGTACGACATGTTTCCGAGCAGGTGGCAGCGAATGGACAGGTTGGATGGGTGGTGCTGATGCAGTCTTCACTCTGCCTTCGTATAGAGTGAATGCTTAGATAAATATCTCTCATACTTGGATATATACATATATAAACATATACGCCCAGTTCTTCACTTCTTTATTGATCGAAATTGTCAGAAAAAACTCTAGCTTTACATTCGTGTATTATATTCCGTTGCAGGCTTTTTTATTATTAAAAAATTGTGGATTTATATGTAATGGAAATCGATGTTTGAGTAAGCTTTGACAGTAAAAACAGTATTTAAAGAGGCCTTTTTATTACTTCTATTGATTTACGAGTGGTGGTGTCCGTCTCAAGCAGGAATTTTAGTGGTAAACATGAGTACTTCAAGCAGAGTACATCTTACGTAGGGGAGAATGGTGAGTAGTTAATTAAAGAAGGAATCTGAGGTAGAGGGTGAGCTGTAGGCCTATATGCTCGGCATTATATTTTTACTTTAAATTTTCATTTTTTAAGCTTTGTATTAATTATGTATTTTTCATCTTCACATTTTCATTGTTATTCCATCGAATTTATATATTTGTTTTCCATTTGGATAATTTCTCCCATTTCATCATATTAATTTTATCTTTCCTCGTTGATTACTTTCGTTTTCTTATTATATTTGCTCATTTACTCATTTTCATATTTCCGTTCATTTCATTTTACACGTTATCTTATATTAATGATATACTATGCCAACAAGTTGGTTGATAAGACTAATGTGGAACACTGGTATATTCATTCCCGAAACGTTTCATTTACACAGGACACACATTATACTGCATTTGTCTCTGTCCACAATAGGCTTTTTCCGTTGAATGCAGGTGACACCTTCAGAGGACACCTTCCACATCTTAATTCTTGAACCATTAGTTTTGAGTAAGAAAGGCTGGATTTGAGAGGGACCTGCCAGGCATGGTCAGTGCTTCAGTACTCGGTTCTTGATGTTTCTCTAGTGCAACCCCCCCCCCCTCCTCCAGTGACTCAGTCTCAACTCCACACCCCTCTTCTGATTCCAGAGTATAAGGCGCACTTGTCATGTTTCAGCTTCACATTGATCGAGATCATGGATCTGGACGCTTCTCGAGGCTGAAGGACTGACCACTTTCAAAACTAATACTTCAAAGCTGATGAACTGATCACGTCATTCTCTCCATTGCTTATCTCAGTTTTAGTCAGCTTTGTTGTATTCAACACTTTTTTGGGAATGAAGATACCAAAGCGTTTTTTCACTCCTACCTATTTACGTTATTTTTCCTTTCTTACCTCTACTGTTCTCATGCAAGTTTTAATGAAAACAGTTATTAATATAATTATTATAAAAAAGTGCCAGAATAATAATGCAAAATATATATTAAAACTATGGGGTAGTAGCCATTTAATCATAAAATAATATATATGCAAATTATTGCACAGAATATAAAGGTCATCGCAAAGTCGTACACTAGTCAGCCTTAGCTGGAATATCAACCCTTATACTCCCAACCTCTCCCACTCCCTCTTCACTCTCTCTCTCTCTCTCCCTCTCCCCTCAAGGAAGGCTCCTTGATGCTGGTGAGGGGCTCTTGATTCAGGTAATTGGATCTGTGCTCGTTTCCTGAATTAAGCCTGAATACCTTCCACATCCCCCCACAGGCGCTGTATAATCCTACGGGTTTAGCGCTTCCCCTTGATTATAATAATAATCTCTCTCTCTCTCTCTCTCTCTCTCTCCCTCTCTCTCTCTCCCTCTCTCTCTCTCCCTCTCTCTCTCTCTCCCTCTCTCTCTCTCTCTCTCTCTCTCTCTCTCATCTCTCTCTCTCTCTCTCTCTCTCTCTCTCTCTCTCTCTCTCTCTCTCTCTCTCTCTCTCTCTATATATATATATATATATATATATATATATATAATCTATATAATTTTTTTTGCTCTAGATCTTTTTCACTCTCGTATCAGTGGTAACTCACGTAATGTAATATGGGTTTCCACTGAAAATTTCCCCTCCAATCTGCTGCTCTTGAAACATTGCATAACTCCTGACGACGCAAGAGAGTGCGAAAGATGTAGAAGTAAAGATTCCCATCCCCCATGTGGCTTGTCATATATGTCGTGCAGAATAGGTAAAACTGGTCAATTAGCAAGAACTCGTTTAAAATTAAGTCCTTTCTAAAATTTTCTCTTATACGTTTAAAGATATATATATTTTCATTTAGGTTAGTGTAAAAATTAATAATTTTGTACCAAAATAACCTTGAAAAAACTTGCCTAACCTTATTATAACAAGCGCAATATAATTTAGCCTAATCCAACTAAATATATTTTACATAAGTTAACAGTAATTTAATAATAAACACAAAGAAATATTTTTTTTCGTTAGGTTCAGAATGATTTTTGCGAAATTATTGCTCATGTGTAATGTTTGGCTGGAGAGCGAAACGTCGCCGCAATAGTATGACACATTATTTGCTCGTCTCCTTTTACCTAACACTGGCCAGTAGGCTGCAACAGTGCTTCTTTATTAAATTATGTTCTTATTTAAGGGAGACGAAATTTGCAGATCTTGATAATGTACAAAGAAATTGCCACTGACATATAAATTCTGACGTTTAAGTTATTGAGGAAACCCGGTACTTAGAATCCCTCTAAATGTACTCACTGGAAGGATAACGAGAAAAATGTACTCTTTCAAATCTTCTTACTAAAATAACCTCAAACTAGAGCTGGAGGCAAAATATCTTCTGAACCCTCACCAACCCACATTCCAATAAATACAGCTACCACTAAATAATTATCAAACACAAGAGTCGCTCTAAAAACAAGCCCACTCAAAAGGCTACCCCTTTAACCTTTCATGATCCAACACAGCCTAGCTGTCTGCTCTCATTGTATTCTTCAAATATTGTAGACTTATTTATCCTTGTCTTCAGGCCATACTGGTTTGGCGCTTGTTTTTTTATACTTCAAACATTTAGTGTCTATTACAACCTAACAGCATTAGAATAAAGATTCACTGTAGTAAGCTTGCTGACCCATGTTAGGCAGGTTTTACTTACACTCCCCCATTCTCTCAATGCATGTTTCTAGACATTATAATTACAAGCCCACTATTGTGACTGATTCTAGGCACTCCAAGGTTTTCTGATTCTAGGCACTCCAAGGTTTTCTACTGCAACTTCCACAGTAGTCTCTCATACTCTAACATTTACGGTCTCCCAAAATAATTACCGGATACCATTGCACCTGGCTGAAAATTCCTTAAACTTTCACTTAATATCTTCCAGAATCTCTCTTCTGCTCACCACACCTGGTGTATAAACACTTTTCATACACATCTTATATTCTGAACAGTGCAATTCATGAATTAAAATATGTATATACCATTTATTTTCACAATTATTCATTAAACATTAATGTTATTTAAACTCACGATAAGTCATAATGAATGACTATTAGTGAAAAAAAAACAGAAGAATGGTCAATAAATAAGCGGAAGAATGGGCTGCTTTCTAGGATCATGGTTCGAGTCTGTCTGATTTAGTTTATTCATTATTCTTAGCTCCTCGATTTTAGCGCCTTCATGCTGGGGGAGGACTGTGGTTTTGAAGAGTGAGAAAGAGACTAGTTAGACAAGCCACTGGTGTCAGTAAGAAAAATACGTCCTTGTTATGGAATCTGGTTCCACCAGTCTCTCATTTCTGTCGACTAGTGTTAATAATTCCAGTTTTGCTCTGTTAACCAAAAATGAAGAGAGAGTAGTATTATTTTCACGAAACATGGTATACCCACTGGGATCATTCATTATTGCGAGAACAGTTTTGTAGAGTTCCCGTCCCCATATAAATGTGCTTTGTAATCAAGAGTCGGGCACATAAGCCATACTGGCCATATTTTTGAATATATTTATATATATATATATATATATATATATATATATATATATATATATATATATATATATATATATATATATATATATATATATATAATAGTCTCAGGCGATCTTAATGCAAAGCTGAAGATCTTTCAACAACTGTGCTTCATCAGGAGCTATGCAATGTTTCAAGAGCTGCAACAGGTAGATTGAGGGAAAGTTTTCTCAGAGGAAAGGTAGAGTATCCTAAGGCGGAAGAGGCCAGCGTCAATATACTAACTTTCCTCTGAGAAACTTCCCCTCAGTCTACGTGTTGCAGCTCTTGCAACATTGCATAACACCCGATGAAGCAAGGAAAAGTGTGAAAGATCTTGAGCTGAAGATTTCAGTCCCCCAGTAGCTTGTTTTTTGTGTGTATATATTACACACACGCAGTGAAGAGGCGGGGCCAGGAGCTATGACTCGACCCCTGCAACACACACACTGAAAAGTTGAGTCAAAACTGGCACAAATACCATAGTTCATCCATTATAATATAAGATAATGCAACCTCAGTAATGTTGAATTACTACAAAATTTAAACTTGCATAGCCATTGTTTAGAATCAACACATTTCACAAGACTTAAAGCTGGATGTCGGATCCAAAATTTAAATATTTTTGTAGAAAAATTGAACGAGCAATAGTAGCTTGTAAATTACTAATACACACCAGATACAATTTTTATTATCCAGATACATATATATCCTTTAAATGTTTCTAAAGAAAACATTCGTATCCTAGTAACCAGAAACTAATGCGTATGTCAAAGTGCTTCATAAATTACTTAAGTTTGTTCTCCAAAGGGCGAAGTACGTAGTTGTAAAAAAAAAAAAAAAATAGCGAGGTTACCCCAGTAGCGCTACTAACCAAGTCTGCTCCTGACTGTCATGAGCGCTCATTCATAAGGAAGATACGATCTGTGTACACCACTTGTGTAATAATGGAGTGACGGATGTGGAGTAGCAAACATACTGGGTATACACTTATATATATATATATATATATATATATATATATATATATATATATATATATATATATATATATATATATAATATGTTGGTACCCTAGCTGGCACTACAGAATCCCTCCTAGAGGACATCAGAAAAATTAAAGATATGGGAGAAAGCCTGGGCCTTTCTTTAAACCCCACCAAATGTGAAATAGTTTCTACCAGTCGATAGATGATCCGGAATATTAGTGCTGTTTTACCAGGAGCACGAGCCATTGATTCAGCCAACAGCATTCCTTGGTGCTCCTCTTGGGCCCAGTGCCATCGATCTGATCCTAGAAAAAAATCTCAGCCCTCAGGACGATGGAAGGCAGGATGAAAGCCATCGAAACACATGATGCCTTCTACCTACTCACCAGGTGCCTGTCAATCTCAAAACTTACCTACTTCCTGAGTTGCTCCCCAGCCATCAGCAGTCCGAAACTCAAGGGATATGACTCTTCGTAAGACCATGCTAGAGAATGTATTGAATCTTT